GATAACAGAAAGCAATGAGAAGCTGCACAAGAAGACTGGGGAAAAAAACTTATAATAACAAATATTAGAAGAGAAACTGTAAAAGGTTCTGGTTATGTTTTGCAATGTAGTAATGTATCATGCAACGTAGTGTTAAAATTGATGACAAAATTAAAATGTTATAATTGCATGGAAAAAATGTAAAAGAAATGGAAAAACATATTTTAAAATGTAAGTTGTATAGCATAAGAAGTGTTCAATGTGTAATGATATAAGTAAATAAAATGGCGATACTGTACATATAATGAAAAGTAAAATGGAAAAAAAAGTTTAAAAGAGGTAATAGAGAAAATGTAAAAATATAAAAGGTATAACTGTTCTATGTTTAAAGAAGGTTTATATATTGAAAAAATTTAATTCTCTCATATGTTGTACATGAAGGTAAATCACTGTAGAGTTCACCCCCATGATACAAACTTTTCCAGGGGGGGAGGTTGCATTAGCGAGCGCAAAAAATGCGTCGCTATGTGGATTCGTCGTTAAACGGTGCGCTCGTTAAGCAAGGCACCACTGTATAAGAGAATGGATGACAGTTAAAGAGCAGTTAGAGTCTGAGTTGGAGTCAGTTAGGGAAGAGTTAGGGATGAGTTAGGGACTGGTGTTAGAGCAAAGCAGTTTAGGCAGTTAGGACCAACCTTGTGTTAGTGAAGAGTAATAGAGAGATAGGGAATGAGAAAAGAGATGAATAAATACCTTGATTAAAAATGATTCTATCTAAGCAAACATAAATGTTACCAAAGCACAGTTGATTGAATGAATAAAATAAGACCATCCATGATTTACTTTACATGATTTACTTATAAACACTTAAATAAACATTCTTTTATTTATTAACACTGATTTAAGAGTGATATATGATATATTGAGGAATAAGTCCTCTGGTGGCAGCGGAAAGGGTTGAAAAGTAAATAGCATACCCAAAAGTGAACCTGGGTTGTGGGAAAGAACAAACAGGGGAACTGGGTGTGTGTGACACTGTTGTTCAAAAACATCAATTTGAACAGTTCTAAAGGAAATACTTTATTGCTTCTGGAAGATCATTACTAAAATTATAACCTTGAATTGCTGCCAGATGTTTTAAAGTTCTGAATACAGTGGTGCCTCGCATTATGGCGTTAATTCGTTCCAGCGAAATTGCTGTAGAACGAAAACGTCGTAATGCGAAAATAAAAAGCCCATTGAAACGCATTGAAACCCCTTCAATGCGTTCCAATGGGCTGGAAACTCACCGTCCAGCGAAGATCCTCCATAGGGCGGCCATTTTCGGTGGCTGTCTTGTGAGGAATCTGTCCCAGAAAACAGCGGGGCGCCATTTTATTTACCCACAGCCATTTTGAAACCGCCGATCAGCTGGAGGAAAATCATCATTTCGCGAAGAATCGGTTCCCGAAGCAGGGAACCGATCATCGCAAAGCGAAAAAAACCCATTCAAACCATCATTTTGCGATCGCAAAAAGATCGCAAAAAGATCGTCGGAATGCTGTTTTATCGTAATGCGGGGCAATCATAAAGCGAGGCACCACTGTATGTGTTCATGAGTGTGTATATCTTCAAAAAATAAATAAATAATAATAATAAATAAATCACAGATAATCAAAACCCAAGAAGCATATGTTAGTGATATGCAAATTAAGTAAGGAGAAACTAATCAAAAGCAGTACGTAACCAATTGCCTTAAACATATCTTACTGTGGTCCAAGTGGTTTGCCTTGATAATTTTTTCAGAGTAGTCTGATATACTGGAACATTCAATCTAAAGGAGGCAGGGAGAAAGAGAAAGAAAGAGTGCCTTGCATTAAATATTTCAGAGGCACTGAAGAGAGACACGTCTTTGGATTACAGTGGAATCAATAACACAAGATGAGATGATAGGCATATCGGAATATAGTAAGTAACTAGAGGAAAAGAGTATAATTGCTTACACTGATGTACTGTATGTAGTATATCCATGACTTTGAAGCAGGTTTTCTTTATCTCCAGTTTCTGTTTCCAGTTTAGGATAAATAAGTAGTATGTTGAGTTGTTGAACGTTGATGTCCATGTGTTTACAATCCCAGATAAATTATGTGAATATCAGTACTCACTGATTGATAGAGATTGGAATAGTTACTTTTTTAGACTACAATTACAAAATACTGTACACTATCCAGTATGGCCGGTGGCTAGGTTATTCTATGAGCTATCATACCAAAAAGTAAATGTTTCCATAGTTGATGCTTATATATGGGATCCAAGGATTGGATCATTGACATATACCCAATAAGGGTGTG